GCACTGTTTGCTCAGTAGGATATTCTGTGTATTTAAGTGTCTGTATAATAGGACATGAATACATATAGATTATTTTTATTGTTTCACCAAATCATGAATGATCCTTCCTATTCCCTAGATTGATTTTTTTTTTTTTTTTTTTTTCTGATTAATGTCAAGTTGCATGTAGATGGAAATTGGAATGTAATTTAAAAGAACAGAAAAAGCCTTTTAAAAACTTAGGGAAGTGTGCTGCATACTTTTTTAAAAACTTTATCAAAGCAGGTGTTGAATGCAGATTACTTTGTTTGAACAAAGTACCGTTTTGTAGTTAGGAAACCAACCTGATTGTTTCTGGTCGCTGTACCCTTTAAGATTTCAGAATTTAGGAGATCTTATCCTCCCCACTTTTATTCATAGATTGGAAGAAGAAAATCAAACTTTCTTGCTTTCAACTCCCCATTCAGTTTTTCAACTTTTAAGTTAAATTGCTTGATTAAAATGAAATTAGAAAATGTTCTCTGACCCTTTTCAGAAAAGCTGCTGTCATCAAAAAACTTGTTTGGCACCCAAACAAATTCTGATTCCAAGGTTTTAGCCAGTGGTTTCTAACACTTCTTGAATATTTTAACTTACTGAAATGTTTTTAATAATGCGTAGTACGTTTGAGCATTTACTACATACATTGTCATAATTTCAGAAATAATGTTTTAACAATTTTAAGCCTTAAGATACTTTCATAATTTCAGAAAATATTTTTTAATAGTTTATCTCTAAAATATAATTGAATGTCCTATTTTTAAAAAATGAATTAAAATTCTCTCTGGATTAAATTTCACTTTGATTTTAGTCAGACTTTTCTGCCAGTTTGATAGGAACAGTTTAATCCCTGCAGTTTTAGCCAGAGTTATACTTGGTAAACCTGATGCCTTTTTTTTCTCGTCCTTTACATGTATATTATTCCAGTCACTCTGTGTAGGTGAGCCAGTCTTCTAGTTTGTTTTCAAGTAAGGCCATTTCCCTCCATAAATCAGACATTTTACCTTTTCTTTATTTAGTTGTTTCGTTACTTTGAAGTGAGCAGGCAGTTCGCTGTTCAAGTAGTTACAGACTGCAGTTTCCTTTTTGGCTTCTCTAGGCCTCTGCAATCCCTCCCTTTTCCACTGTATTCCTGGCTTAGAGTCCCATCTTTATTGCCAGTTGTTTAGGAAAGTGACTTAATGTTCTCACCAATTTTTGCGGCATTTGGGCCGTTTTTTTTTTTTTTTTTCAACATGAGGGGCCAGAACTGCAATTAAAACAACTGAGATTTAAAATGATAGGTTTACTTTGGCCTCAGAAAATTCTGCTTGTTCCATTAGAAAATTATGTCTATTACTCTTTATGTGCATTTAGGACTCAGGTGGTTTTTTTTGAGGTCACTGTCTTCTGCTTTTCTATATCCTCCCTTCTGTAAGACAGCCAGTCTTGTGATTTGTATTTTCCTTTGGCAGCTGAATTCCTCTAAAGTCACTGAAGAATGCTGCTGCACAGAGTTTTCTGCAACGCTTCAGAGAGATGCCATTTTTGCAACCATTTTGAATGCCTCAAGGACAGTACTACTTGTGTAGGTGGTCATTAGCACCTTTATTTTAACTAAGTGTTTTTATATCATTTTATTTTTTAGTTATTTTACCTTTACGGTTGTTTTTAACGTCCTTCTCGTAAGTGAGCTCTTTAACACAGTGTCTTACCAGGCAGACTAATACATATGGGGACGTTGGTTAAAAGGCTTCCTGAATGACTATAAAAAGAATAAAGCAGCGAAAACACTAATTGGCCCACATACAGATTTGTTGAATGCTTCCACCTACCAGGCTCTGTGACCCTTTTAACAGAAATATTTTTAAATGGCCTGGTAATAGGGATCCGAGTGACAGTGTCTAAAGCTTTGCAGCCTCATTATTTTATAAGTGGTTAGGATCTTGATTCCAAGAATATACATCCAGGACTGTGCCAGTCTTTCATGCAGCTCTTAGAGGCCAGAACAAAGAACCTCTAGTTGTCTTTAAGGGGCTTTGTGTTGCTCTCATCAGCAGTATCTCTGCGTGGTGAGACCAACCACATTTCAGTGAGGAAAGATTGTTTAACATTTCAGATGAAAAGCAGAAATGCAAGATTTTTCTTGAGTGATCAGCAGTCTCCACTCTCTGCTTTCTGTTTTCATTTTAAGTGTTCTTCTAATTTTGCTGACTGCCTAGGGACAGATAATTCAGCTTTTCTCCAAGGACAGTAGAAGAACATTCTTTCTGAGCAATGGCAAAGGTGTAGCATCCATTGGGAAACTTGGAAGCTGGTCTCTTCAAGCAGCAAGCAGAAACTTGGACTCACTTCTTCTTGATTCAGATTCCCTTAGGGCTGAGCACCCTTACACTGCATCTGTACAATTACTTAGCATTGTTGCATGGTCTTTGAAAATTCCCATCCTATTTCTATGCTCTTGTCTTTGCAAGTGAGGCTTCTCTCCAGTGGTGCTAATCACCTGCCAGTTGTAACCGATTTTACCACCCGTTTGAACACCTTAGTCTTGCAGAAAACGATTTTTATTTGCAAGACTGGCTGAGGGTCCGTCTCATTGAATTGCTGTCATTGCAAAAGCACCTTGTTTATAATTATAGCTTTTAAAGAGAGGTCATAATTGATGATTTGCTAGTATGTTCACAGTTGCACCTGTTCGGCGCAGGGAAATATTTTAAAATAGTAATTTCATTCTATATGCATCTTCATTTATTGCTTGTTTGCTATATTTGTCTTGATTCAGGTAGGTCTTTGAGGTAAAGACCCTGTTTTCTACATATTGCTGTGTCTCTTAATTTGATGCATCCTGAGCTGGGAATTGGATGCTGCTGCTTTATTATGCAGTCAGTCAATGTTAATCTAATTCGGCCATCTCAGTGCTGCCTTGTTGAGAGTGACGAGGTGTAGCAGTCCTTGCTCTAAACTTCTGACTTGGGATGCTGCTCTTAAAAAGCAGGGACCCAGGTTTTCCATTTCCCTTGGAAAAACAGAGAAGAACGTGGATTTCCCCCTTTACCTGAGGAAAACACAGATTTCTCATTTTAATGGAGAAACCCATGAATTTTGCACTCTTGCAAAGAGCTTTCTGCAGGCTGGGAGAGTTCCAGCCTGCAAGGCGCTGGGGGGGAGAGGGAGGAGGGCAGTCAGGCAGGGGGCACTATGTCCATATGCACATGGATACTGGGCAGTTTGGAGAGCAGCTCTCACACGTAGGGGTCAGGGGGGGATTTGAGACCCATAGGGAGGAAGGGAGTTGGGCAGGGCTGGGGCTGGGGGGTTTGGGGCCCAGGACCAGAATGCATGGCTGTAGGGCTCCAGCGGGGAGCAGTATGGGGCTGGGGGCAGGAAGGTGGGGCTGGCTTCCTGCTGCTTCCTGCAATCCTGGGAGTGGAGGGTGGGACCTGTGTCCCCCCCCCAGATCTGTGCGCAGGGCAGGGGTGGGTGGGGGCTGCCTGCAGCAGGTTTGGGCTCCCCTCCCTGCTGCCCTCCTCTGTGGGCCAGTGGGCAGGATGTGGCGCAGCAGGGCAGAAAGGGGCCTGGCGGGCTCCTTGCTGCTGTGAGCTCCATGCTGCCCTAGCGAGGCATCCCCAGCTTGCCCGGCAGCAGCAGGGGCAGTGGCACGCCATTGTGCCCCTTGGTGCTCTGGGGCACTATACATATATAGTGGCCTTTCATTTTAATCATAGATTTGGGTTTTTAATCAGAGAATCTGCAATTTTTTATCGGGGAAACCATGATCCCTGCTAATAATACACAAGGATCTATCTTAGAGTGCCTGATGCCTGCTCCAGCATGTTCTAGCTGTAATTAAAGCACCCCGGCACCATTTTGAAGTGTGGGGATGCTGAACATATGTGACGCTGCGGGTGCTTTAATTAAAACAGTCACTGAGATCTGCTTTTAATTAAAGCACTCCCCCACCACCCTGGAACACATGTAAAAACTGATTTATTTTTATTTATTTATTCAGTTGACTAAAACCAATGTTTTAAGGCTTTAAATAAATGGTAGGTGGGTAGAGTACGGCCAAAGGGGAAGTGCTTTCCTCCTGAGAGGTAGAAACAGAAGGGTAAACAAGTAGAGGAACTGTGTATATAAGAAACAGACAGTGCATTTGCTATCTATAAATCTACCCTGATATTTTTGTATGTTGCTTAACTTTTGACTTATGAGCTCTTTCTGATGGTGACTCTTTTTCTGTGAGGCAGTGCCCACCCCATAGTGTGCAGTATTCGCATACAAATAGTATGAGTATCCAGAAAGGTTCAAAAGTTTCTCAGCTATTAGCTGGAAAAGTTCTAGAATTATAAAATGTAGTTGGAAAGAAAATATTGTCAGTCCTGTTATCACCAGATTCTTACCTAACGGAGTAGGTTTTTGGACTTGAAGGTGACACGTGTAGCGCAGAACACAAAATGTATCTTGTGATTTATCTTGGGGGAGGGTATTTTGTGGGTGAGTCAGTTCAAATTTAAGAACTTGAGATACAAAAATGTGTGTAACGTTAACTCAAGAGCAAGCATTATAGGGAGTTGATGGCTGTTTTCTTTTGATCCTTGCTGACTTCATCAGGAAATAGCTTGAAAATGTTGTACTGGGTGCTGATCCATGACTCATTTACGTTAATAATTTTGTTGGGGGGTTTTTTTATAGTGCAGTGGTAACTGGCAGTGCCATGTTTACTCCATGGTAGTTGGCATAGTTTAAAGCTCACAAATGGAAGCAGTCTTTCCTTTTTTTAAGGTGCATGTAAGGCTAGCCAGCTGGATTTTAACTGACATGTAAACAAGTGGAAAAGTGAAAACCAAGGGATTGTTAGTGGGCTCTTTGGGATGACTTAGGTGTTAAGTTCTCGTTCTTTTCTTGAAAGAGTTGAGTACAGAAGAATAAATACAAGCTTATTGTAATGCCTTTTACTTACGTGTTTTATAATATCCTTTCCTCCAGAGTCCAAGAAGCGGCAGTGTAAAGTGCAGTTCGACTATATCCCGCAGAATGAGGATGAGCTGGAGCTCAAGCTTGGGGATGTTATTGACATTAATGAAGAGGTAAGTTATTCTAAAGAACCGATCACCTCTTTGTTTGGCCAAGAATTTGAAACCACCTTTGTCTGAAATATCTGACTGACCTGGAAGAAGGTTTAAAACATAGCAAGGGAGGCATGGTTTTCTGGTTCTAAAAAATGGTATAGAGGTTTTCTGTCTTGGGAATAACAACTGTTAAATTAATAAAGGGCTGGTGTTTTGGGGAAATATTGCAAGTTGATAAATTATTAAAGGAAATGTAATGTTTACAGTAGTAAATCACATTCCATTCCGCATGATTTTCCTGAAGACCTTTTAAAACTGTTTTTATGGCCTATATACATTTTATTTTTACCTTACGGTCATTTAGCCACAAGGTTATTTGACTGGTCACCTGTAAGCTTATATTCTGGAACCAAGCTCTTCTTTAAAATTTGTGAACCTTTTAAAGAGATCGAAGCAGCAGCAAAAGCATGGTCAATCAAACCCCAAACCATTTGTTAAGCGTTATTGAACATCATGAACTTCTTGCCCCAGGGCATATTGTTTGTATTGGCTCCCTACTGTAAATGGAGTTGCCCTGATATTGAAAACTTTGGCCGTAGCTACCTTAGAGAATATTTTACACTTCACAACCACATCCTCCTGTGACCAGCTGTTTACCTTGAAGAGTCAAACTGTCAGCTGTAATTGGGAGACTTGTAAGTGTGAGAAGAAAGGGCTTTCAGAAAAAACTGGAACTACAGGAAGAAATCTTGGAAAAGGGAAGATTGACCCTGCAAGTAAATGCATTTGGAACTAGATGTAAGATTTAGTCTTCTATGTCGCTTACTCAAGTCTACATAGCGCTGTATTTTTAGCCGTTTATTCTAGACACTGGGAAGGAAGGAAGGAAGATCTATTACTGCTTCTATTTTTAATACTGGGAAGGCATTTGGGGACTACAGTAATGGTTGAGGGCTTATGATTGCCCAGGTAGAAACTAAGTATGTGTTGCTTGCTAGGTAGTTTGATCTGGTTCCAGCTGTTCAGGCGTGTGGCATATTACCATTCTTTTGTCTTGTAAACTGACAAGAAGGAAACATTTTCATGCTTTTAGCTGGTTAGTATTAAGCTATACTGCTCTCTACACTTTCTGTATGATAATTTAGAATAAATTTAGCAAATTCTTTAAAGAAATTGCTGCTTTAAAAATGGCTTCCAAAATGTACTAATCCCTCAAGAGACCTCCCCCCCACCCCCTTTGATCATGAACTTCAAGGATGTAATAATTCATTCAGTTCAAATAAGTAAACAGGGTTTTTTAAATGCCCAGGCCTATGCTGAGTAACTTGTATAATCTTCCTATTGTAAATCCCTTGCTTCCATACCTCCTTTTTCCTCTTTGTTGTCTCTGCTCATCTCATCTCATGTGCAGCAGATTTTCTGAGGCACAACCCTTGTTTGTAGCATTAATTATTATGATTGCTGGTAGTTGTTTGTATTCTGGTTGCAGCTACAGGTCCTATTCAGGCTCAGGCTTTATTATACTAGGCACTGTACACACACAGTAGTTGAAGACAGTCCATGTCTGGCAAAGCTTACAGCCTGAGAGCAAGCAAGATACAGATGACAACAAAGCCATTTGCCAAAAGTAGGACATGTATTTTTTTTCAGATCCCCATTTTCATAACAAACCATTCATTTTAATCACTTGAATCCAGCTGCCAGTGAAATGTATTTGTTCTGTTTAGCTTCTCGCATGCTTTGGGAGCTATCGAACAATATAGGGTAGTAATCCTGTGATCCCATATTTTCTTACTTATTTCTTTCACTGTCAGAACTGATATTTTATAACGTGGCCAGTGAACATCTTAAGTTGCTGTACACCAGGATTCCGAGCAAAATTTGAGAGTACAATAGATCCTTTTATTATAAGAATTGTCTGCCTGATTTCTCATTGATTAGACTTGAAGTAAGCTTATTGGCTTTGGTCAACAGCTACCCTGTATAGGCATCTAACTTCTTATCATGTAAGATCGGTTTTCTTAATAGGTAGGTGCCAATGTAATTTTCCCAGTGGCAATTATGTACAGATAGGACTTAGTGAGTATGAAGTGAAGTGTAACTCCCTCTTGTGGTCACCATTTACCTTATGGTGTGAATAGAATAAGATTCCATGAGTTTTGGGTGATGGGGAATAGGCTTGGGTATTTGGAAGTCTGCGTAGGTCATCATACCTTTCTGACATTTGGACAGAGAAGTTTTGGCTTCTTGGAACTAATTCTAACATCCTGTAATGGACTGTGTCGTGGGCAATCTTGCCTAGTGGATAGACCACCAAAGCCAGGCCAGAGTCTGAAGCAGAGGCCCTGGGTCAGGAAACGGACACCAAGGCTGCTTGCAGACGTGGAAAAGAAAAACAGCAAAAAAAAACCTCAGCACTTTAAACTCGATGCACTACTGCGCCAAGGCCAGGACATGCCCAGAAGAGGCAGCACGTTAGTTGTACCTGGCTTTCCCAACATCTGTAGAGATTGGGCACTTTAGTGCCTATGGCACTTTTATCTATTAGCTGGTAGAATCAACTGTAGCTAAAAGCACCAAAAAGCCCCACTGAAGCACCTATACAATGTAGAGTCAGATCGAAGTAATGTGCTACTGCTTCTGATAGAGTGCATCTCCCCTACCCCCCATCTGTCAGCACCCCAGGTTACCAAATATAGTGGCAAGGTATGAATCTTAAGCTAAATTGAAGTTCAGGAGTCAGAGAATGTATTACTAAATCCAAGGGAAAATCAAAAAGCCAGAGTTCAGGAACAGAGCAAGCAGGGTCAAGATATCAAGGGCAGGTCCTGATGAGCATGCAGAGCAGTTTGAGGCAACACAAAGCACATGTGGTGCACGTGCACCCAATTGCCACTGCAAATCACAAGTGGTGCATGTGCACCCAACTGCTAATTGCAAATTAGCAGTGCGGTGGGGTTTTTTTGACACTGGGGAATCCCGGTGTGAAAAAAAACTGCCACTGAAAAAAGCAGCGTGGCACTTGCAGCAGCAGGATGCACCACCAGAAGGGGAGCCTGGGTCGCTAGAGCCATGCCCTAGCTGCTGGCCAGGCTCTGAGCGGCTGGCTGAGCACTAGTGCTGCCCCCAGGAGGCCCCCAGGACTCCAGGTAAGGCTGCTGGGGCAACACAGGTGCTGGCTGCAGCCTCCCCTATCCCACCTGGGTTACTTTGCTACATGTAGGAATACGTATGTAGGGCACACCGAGGGACATATAGCAGTGGCACAAACATGTCCTGCTGCTGTTTGTCCCACGAGAAATGCATCCCTGGACATATGCGCTTCTCAGGATGTGCCCCAGGACTACTAGATTGTAGAGGCTTCCAGCACAAACTGTTGGCAGTCCTGGAGTCTTTTTGCCACAGCTGGAACTAAATGGGTAGATTGCTCTCCCATCAGCCAGTCAGAAGGTCCAGGCAGTGCCCAGCTGGAGTCATGAGCTAGGTTAGGACTGTCTGTCAAAGCCCCAGTCCCTGTGGCTCACTAGGCAAGTAGCCTAGGTTGGACTCTGTTAGGGCCCCTGACACATGGTCTTAGTTTAACCATGTATCTGATGGCTAGGTAGTAATCCTATAGCTTGAAAGAGGCAAACATTTAGCCAAGGAAATTAGTGCATTAATGATGAGCAGGGATCTTGATGTTCTTGGTTTAAAAATCCCACATTGTCTGATAAAAATTCTCAGATTAAAACCCCCAAATTTGCATTTTTCCATGATTTTTAAAATGAAACACCACTAATACATATACAGATATCTAGAGAGAGATGTAAAATATGCATCAGTTGAACACGATGTTTTTATTGGTATATTTACAATTTTAAAGCAGTTTGGAAGCCTACAAGTGCCTCAATGATTACTAAAATAAATTCTAAATACCTATATATTCTGGTGCTTGATTTTGGTTTTTTATCATAGAAAATCAGAGCTCCCCCTGCCCCTTCACTTGCAAGGATGTGGGTCCAGCTGCGGCTGTTGTCCTCCCCCCCCACCCCCCTACCACTGCTTTGTGGTGGTGAGCAACCCACATCTGCCAGTGCCAAGCCCATGCCATTGCCCATCACTTCCAGGCCACAGCCATCCCCACCCCCGCAATCCTGCTGGTACCCCTCACTCCCCACTCCTAGACCTGCTGGTGCCCCTCACTTGCAACCCCCTGCCCCCCAGCCTACAGCCCTGCTGGAGGAGGGCCTCAGCTGCCAGGGCTACAGGAGTGAGACCAGGGTAGGGCCTGTAGCTGGTTGTTGCCCATGCCTTTTGTGTGGCAAGGTCATGTGTCACTCTCCAGTTGTTGAGCTGGGCTTTTCTCCTAGCACTCCACAGTGACATCAAGGTTTTTTCTGGAAAAGAATCGATAAATGGGAAGGAATGGTTTCCTCAAATGGAACAATTTATGACTTTTGAAGATGCTCTTCTAGCATTCCACATGTCTAGAAATATCAATTCCTTTTCTAAATCAACTTAATTTGATGTCTGACAAATACATATACTATATTTAGCACAGAAATCTATTCTAAACTGTTTTCTGCTGTATCCCTTGCTAAATACAGTGCTTATGGATGGAAACTACAGACGGCTCTTTTTGTAATTTTGGTATGCATTTCGTATAATCAGAAAGTAACAAGGTTGTGTGAAATGGGAAGTAAAGCCTTGAAATCTCATTTTTAAAGAATAGATATCCCCATGTGTGCTTACTGGCTCAATAGGAGCTTTTACCTCTATCACAAGGTGATAGTCAACTGATAAAAATTCCTTTCAAAGTCCTTTGTGTTTTCTCTTAAGAAAAATAAACTTTTTTTTAGCATAAAATTTTCAAGTATGTGAAACCAGGTCAGAGTCAGGAGGCTTGGCCTCTATTCCTTCTTGGCATGACTGTGAATTCCTTGTTTATATGGTGGTGTGAGATGCTTTGAAGAAAAGTGTTTAAATAAGAATCAAGGATTTATAAAGTCAACAATGCTTGTAAATGTATTGGATTAACAGGATGGGCTATCAAAGCCCTCTTTCCAGTAGAGAGAAATGTTGGTACATTAGGTATCCCAAGAACTTTTATTTAATGAAGCTTTGGGATTCTAGCAGCTTTTTCACTGCCATCCTGAGACAAGTTCATAACAGCTCTTAAACCTTCATGCTGTAACAGAGACAGACAGTCATTTGAACAGAATACATTCAAAATGAAAATTTTCAAAGCTTAGTTGACTTTAAAAAAAAATGTAATCTAACTTAAATGTTTGGTGCACGTCTTGTCCTTTTTCAGCCCTTGATTTTGTGTAAAATCTTCTCTTCATCCTTTTATTGTTGGCAGCCTCTTGCTCTCACACCGTAAACATAGACAATGGGCACTTGATAATTTGAAAAATCTTTACTCTTCACTCTTAAAATCATCTATGTATGAGTAGATTTAAAAGTGTTTAGCTATGACTGAAAGAGATGAATTAAAGGAATCTGTAGAATAGATCATTGCATTCAAAGTCCTGACATGCTTGCTACTTTTTAAGTGGTGATTGTTATTGTTTGATTTGGAGTCTAAGGGCAGTCTAGATCTCCCTTTTTGTGCTGTTTCATAAAATGAGGTTGCACACATCCCTTCTGTAACCAGAAGATTTCTCTTTACAGTTCTGGCTTGTTTCAGTGTGCAAGGATTATGCAGTGCCAAATGCAGAAACCTTTAGGGGACTACAAGTGCACGTAGGATGTGCCAGTTGGTAAATTATCTGGTATTCTTAAAAACTGGTCAGCTGTAGTAGAATTGAGAGTGAACCAGTGATGGAGAAAAGCCTAAATTAGGAACGTACCTCCACTCTCCCCAAACTCACCATCTTGTCATGCAGCCCTGTCTGAGAACCAGGAAGTCTCTATATAAAACAGACCTTCATGCCACAAAGAAAAACACCCAAAATCTAGGGGGTTTTTGGAGTTTGAGTAGTAGTGCTTCTTTATATAGGAACTCTGAAAATGAGTTACAAATGGCATTCATAGGTATGGCTTTTTCTTCAAGATCATAAAGCTTTATCACTCATAAGTCCAGCTGCATTTAGTTCTGGTCTAACTTTACAGGATATCTTTAATGATGTAAAGATAGCTTAGCTGAATTGTGGAGTATTATAAAATAACAAGTACGTTAAGAAGTGTGAGGCCATGTGTGATGAAGTCCAAGAATGTGGGGACATTGCAGTGCACCAAGAGGGTCCAGTGGGTTTAACGCCTCCTTCCCAATGGTGAACTAGCAAGTGTCCACTGTTCAGTGGCCAGTTTAATACCTTTCCCTTCCATTACCTGTAGATCCTTGCTCCCTGTCCGTGTGCCTGTGGAATTCTTCTTGGGGAAGAGAGGGATCTGTCAGCTGAAAGTAACATTTTTCTGCTTAGCTGGAATAAGTTGTAGAATGATAAAACACTTTCTATTCATCCTGCTTTGTCCCAGCATATTATGAGATTTTTTTTCCTTTAAAAAAATGGCACTTTGAACTTTTTTGAAGTTATTTCTATCTTCTTTTAAGTGTATTTACAATATCTCATGATAGACTTATCTTAAGTCCTACTCTGTTTACATTGCTCTGGAAAGTTATGAAACTGGCATTGTGTTTAGTTTTCCCCTGTTTTATTGGTAAAGTGTGAAATACCTTTTTACAGGTAGAAGAAGGCTGGTGGAGCGGAACACTAAATGGCAAGTCAGGATTATTCCCTTCCAACTTTGTAAAAGAATTAGAGTTGACAGATGATGGAGAAGCACAAGATCCCGTGGATGACACAGGTATGAAAGCTTTTTATGTAGGATCCAGTATGTAATACCAGCAGCAGTCACTTGGGCCCAAAACGTGGTTAAGAAGTTACAATAATAGAGGGAAAGGTGGTAGGTTTTCTTACTTTTTTTTTAAAAATTATTATTGGATATATCTAATATATTAAGGGCTTACTCTTTCTGCTCCTCCCCCTCACTTCCATCCTCTAGCACTGTAGTACAGACTTGGGTTTTCATGCAGGCTCAAGGAAGGCATCGTGGGGTGCCTCCAGGTCTCCCTAGTGCCGCGCTTCTAAGACTGATGTGCGTGGAACAGGAAAGTTTGGGTAAAACAGATTTCTTCAGCAGTATAACAGCACTTTGCCACTACAATGCCTGCATACCTATAGATTGCAAATTGCCCCAAGGCAGGACCTATGCCTATGTAAAACAGATAAATACTGGTAATGCACATATAATTTTCACCTGTTTGAGACCTGAAGTTCTGCAGCATTTGGGCCTGTGATGTACTTCTTTCATATCAGGGAATATTTTTCTTTCAGTTCCTTGCTTCGGATTCTGACAAGCTTTGACACTGCTAGGCAGCACTCAGGCCCAGATCCTGCTTCATCAGTTAGATGCTTACATGTGATCCTACTCCCCCTGTTAGAGTTCCTGGAAAAAGTGTTAATCCACTTACTTTTATAATATGTCATCATCACTTTAGCTTTAGGAGTGAATCACGAAAGTGCATCAAGGAGGAAGAATCCTTCCCCCCCCCCACACACACGCTAACTGTTTTTTTTTCAGGAACTTGAGCATGGTGGTATAGGATCTCACTTAAGTGCCTCAGCCAATTTACATGCCTGGAACAGGATGTAGCTCTGAAGGTTTAATCTAAATTTACTTGGTTTATAAGCCTAAAATAAATGTGTGTCAGGACATTTGAAGTACTTTGCATGAGAGAGTGAATTGCAGAGGTGGAAGAAGAGGCCTTGAATTGTCAGATCACAATGAACATGAGTTGTCTAATACTACATCCGAGTTGCACTGTCTTGTATCCTTGTTGTATTGCCCATTTTATTATTAGAGATGTAGCAGCTAATTGCTCAGATTACTTCAGGATCTAAGTAGCTTTAAACCTGGATAGTTGAATCTTTTGTAGTTGTGTGGCCAGAAGAGCAAGAGACATAGACCGTAATTCATAGGTGAAAAATGTTCATAGCTGTATTTTGATTGGGATGCCAAATAAGTGCATGTTTTGCAGGAAAAGAAATGCCTTAGTTTGTTCTCCTGAACTGATTTAGGGTGGTTTGGTCTCCGAAGGCTTTACAGCGTGAAGGAATGAAACTTCCTACTGTGCTGTTGCTCAGTGTCAAGCACAGCAAATAGATCCATAATAAAAACTGATTCCAAGACCTTGCTTCATTTAGGTAGTGATCAGGGAAAAAAAAGTGTTAAAAAAGTGGCGCTGACTGTATTTCCAGTTCCAAGATGCTCTGAGCTCTTTGTCTCTGACAAAATTGTGCTTAAAGATGAAAGCAAAAATAGGCTGACAAGGAAAAATATTTTTTCCAGTCTGCATCAATTCTGGAAATGTTATTAGGAGCAAAACAAGTGGGGAGTCGAGAGTCATAGAAAAGTAAGGCTGCAACGGACCTCTAGCAGTCATCTAGTCATGCCCCCTGTCAGAGGCAGGATGGTCCCAACTCAAATTATCCTATACAAATGTACTGTCTGACCTCTTGGTAAAACTATAGTCAACCCAGACACAACATACAACATCCTAATCTCCCACAGGTAAAGCCTGGAGACTGCAGCAGCCAGCATCCTGCTGCAAAAGTTGTTAAAATAAGCTCGAGAGATGCCAGAAAGAGGGCCACAACCCCTGCTACAGAAGGCGGCAAAACCCCTCGCAGTTCATACCAGTCTGATCATAGGGTAAAATTCCTTCCTGAGCCCATTTACAGTGATCTCTCTGACCCTGATCAGAGGGGTAGGAGCCTCCAGGTTTTGAGTCTCGGCATGAGCATTAGTACGTCCCAGTCAAAATCCCACGATTTAGGGGATTTTGAGCAGCCCAGGCACTAGGTTAGGGGCTATCTCTTATTAGGTAGAGCTAATTCCTTACTTGGAGCACTAGCTGGTAAATTTACAAAAGCCATGTTTTCCCTTGGCAGTTTTTACTGTGGATCAGAGAGGCTTGTGGGTAACTTGAATTGACAGTCCATTTGCTGGCAGTCAGTAGCCGGGGCCTGATTTTCAGCAGTTCTGAATGCTAGCATTGCAGTTGCAGGTGCTGAGCCGCTCTCAAAATCAGGTGCTCAGTGACTGCTCTGCCTTGCCTTGTTGAGCAGTGTTAATTTTTACTTTCCCTGTTGGCTAGAAATAGCAACAGAGCGCCAAGACTACTGAGAGATGTTCTTTCAAGGCAGAGACTTGTAGCCTGGACATTTTATTGTCAGGGAGGCAAAGAGATGGTTTGTATATTTGGTGGGGAAAATGCTGAGTTTAAGGGTGGGTGGGGTGGAAGAGAAGAAGTGGCAGCAACAGCTGGGTCCCAGCACCAGCCCATCTTAGACCTGGGCTGGGTCATGCTGGTCCAGCACTAAGAGAAGTTATGCCCAACTTCCCTAAAACAGTGGTTCTCAACCTTTTCAGACTCGAGGCTCCCCTAAGAAAATGCCAGCTCTTGGCTTTCGCTCGGTTTTGTCTGCCAGATAAGAGTCATTCTGTTACAGAGAGCTCGGGCTGCAGCAGGTCGAAGTGGTTTGACATTTTGGTTCCTATCTGAAATCTCTAGGTTTATCTTGTTTTCACGCCTAACAGTGCAGCACCCTGTGGCACCCTGGTTCTGAATCACAACTCTAGAAAGAAGGCCGGGCAGGGTGGCATCTTAGAGACTAACTCATTCAGAAACGCATAAGCTTTTCTAGGCCACAGCCTACTTCAGAGGCAATGAATGGACTTGCAGAGCTGGAGGACTAAAATTGAATTGTGTGAAGGATGTTTGGTCTATAATTCAGCTTCCTGGTTTCAGCTAGTGTATCTTTTCTTGCATGCTGCAGGTGGAAAACAAGCTTCCCTGTAGATACTAGTTTAGTTCTCAAACAAAATGTTTTCAAACAACTCCCAAATACTTGAATTCCCGAGTATCTGCTTTATACAGGTCAATGACTACTTTGTTATGGATAAATATGTCCCCTCCTCCTTTATTTAAAATGATGGGCTAAAATGTAAGGCTGTGTTCACACTGTAACAGTGGTTAAAGCTGGATATCTCAGTTAGAACTAGATGATCTTGGTGTTGCTGAATAGAAATACAGCATTAAGATAATTGTGAGCAAATGTAATAAATGTGGATATTTTTACTTTTTAAAAAATCTCCAATTATTTTTGTCAGTTGTCCAGAAGAGTAGAGAAAATTTCACTTGCCAGCATGGAGAGAAAATTATTTTTTGTAATGTCAAAACAGGTTTTCTTTTTTTTTCTCTCTCCCCCTCTGCTATAGAAGTATGGAAGAATTTAACTGTTCTGCAGTAATCTTTAGTAGAGTCACTGCATCTGGTAAAAGCAGTAATGTGCAACTGTTTTGGTACTATGCTGAAATAAAATACTGGGTCAAAGAGAGTGCAGGAGCATACTTCTGAGCTGGTGGGATATATACAACCGATGACAATAGCGGATCTTATTCCTTGGCTGATGTCCGAGATGCCAAGCCAAAAATCAATTATCTAATCTGTTGATGGCTGAGAGCTGCTGGTACATTTTGTGCAGAAATAGTATCATAGCAAACTGCCTTGAGAGAGTTTTTTTAGAGCTAGAGCCCTGCTAAACATGTATCCAGCAGAAGATGTAGGAATGTCTAGATGGTAACTGCAATTTTAATAAGTATTTGGCAAGAGCAGTGTATATAGGCATTAACAGAAAAGATGATCACTGTGATTTTGATTTCCAGAATACCTGATGAGTATAAATACTTGGTCATACTTTTTCAGAGTCTGTTTTCACTGGTCCTACCTCACCTGTGGCCTCCTCCCCTGGGAATGGAAACGAACCTGCAGTTGCATCAGTAATGCAGCCAAAGAAAATCCGAGGCATTGGATTTGGAGACATCTTCAAAGAAGGTTCGGTGAAACTGAAGACAAGATTATCCAGTAATGATTTTGAGGAAAAAAAGCAAGAAAAGGTTTGTAGGAGTCCATGCTTGAGCATGGCTTTTGAGTGTATTCACACATTATGTTTTAACTTTGAATAATTTATTTTCATCTTTTAAAGAAGTGGTAATAATACTTTCTATCGTAGCATCACAAAGTGCTTCAGAGAGATAGAGACATTTACTGAAGTTGCAGTAAAATAGGTTTAGATTGGCCACCAGGAAAAATGCCTTTGTTGTCAGAACAGCGAGTAGTGGAATAGGCTGCCTAGGGAGGTTGTGGACTCTCCGTCACTGGAGGTGTTTGAGATGAGACAGGACAGCCACTGGTTGGGAATGATATAGGCATAGCTGTGTCTACGTTTTGTGGGTATTTTTCATACTTCTTTGCTTTGTTGGTTGCTGAATGGGGCTGGGAGGGATTCCCCCTTTTCTGCTACATGTCAGATGTGGGATTTGTAAACTTTCCTCAGAGGCATTGGATGTTGGCTGCAGCCAAAGCTGGGGATTTTGACTGGAGTGCCAGTGCTCTTGTTGGGACTTTAAGCCAGAGGTTCCTGGCTAGAGGGTCTTGCCCCTCCAATCAGGGTCTGACCAATTGCTCTGTTTGGAGTTGGGAAGGAATTTTATCTCATGGACTGTGGGAGGATTTGCCTCCCTCTGTAGCAGGGGGTATGACCCTCTACCTGGCATCTCTGGAGTGTATATTACCCTTTTGCAGAAGAGGTTAGGGTGTTGTTGTGTTGTGTCCAGGTTAATAGTCATTTTACTAAGACGTTAGATTATGGATTTGTATAGGATAGTTTGGATAGGGGTGATCCTACTTCAGGCATGGGGTTGGACTGGATGACCTATAGAGGTTGCTTCCAGCCCTACTTCTCTCTAAAATCTCTGATTTCTATGATTGGCGCTCTCAGCATCTATATGAAGTGGATCGGCCCCCCATTTTTGCAAAGGAGGGGCCTGCACAAAGAAGCTGGCTAATATTGATCTGTACCCAAACCAGAAAAATCCAAGACGAACGACCCAGGGCAGTCTTTCCTTTTTTTAAGTTAATGTACTTTTCAAGTAAATATAAAAAGATAAAATAGCACTGATGGATAACACCCATTCAAAATGATCTGCCTAAGTTTTTAAAAGGGAATAGGAGAGAGGAAAAACGAACTACTTTGCTTTCTAAATCAGATGATTTCAAGAGCTGTAACAAGCCACCTTCCAAGCACAATTCAATAGATAATTTGCGTATATTGCTCTAGTTCTGCCAAAACTAGCAATAAGTGAATGAAAATCATTGTAGTGCTTTCTGAGTCTATTTGACCTAATATTTCCAGGAATTTATTCAAGAGGCAAAGATTTCTTAGGGTGAAATCTTTTATATAGTTTAAATAAAGTTAGGCAAGCTTTCATATGCAAAGCATTCTTCCTCAGGTCTCTGATCACACCTAAGAAATTCTTGCCTCTAATAATTTCTGAACTATTACAGATACAACATCACTTTTTACGGTACAGGCTCTTATTGTTATACTTCCTAATATAAGTAGCAGAAATAATGAAAACAGACATTTTACAGTATTGTTTTGTACTTCAAATACCAATGAAGCAACATAGGTTTTGTTTGGTGTTTTTTTTTTTTTTTTTTTAAAAACCCAAAAAAAAAAAAAAGGTTTTTTTTGGGTTTTTAAAAAAAAAAAAAAACACAAAAAAAAACTTGTCTGTCTTTTTTGGAATTGCAAGAGAAAAAAAATACTGAAAAATTTTTTTTTTTTTTAAATTAACTGCTCTGCTCTATCACAGATTCCTTGTGTGATTGTGAGCAAGAAGCTTATGATATAGACCAGGGTGTCAAACTTGCTTCCTGCCCTGGGTTGCATCCAGATCATGTATGCCTCCATAGCAAGAGGTGGAGGCTGTGCCACTGATGCTTGTTTTGTGCTGTGGTGGCAGCTCTGGCTCCAGATCCAGCATGGGGATGCAACAGCAGTGGAGCTGGGTCCACAGCAGTGGGCAAAGCAGCTGGAGGGTGACCTGAGTTGTCAGCCCTTGGTCACCTGCCTACTCCCTATCGCCGTGTCTACTGGAACCTGAGGACTATGGGTTCTGCAGCAGACCACTTCCCAACTTCTGGTGGCCCACTTGTATCCTGATGGACTGGATACAGCAGCTCCGTGGGTTAGAACTGGCATTTGGCCTCAGTAATACCCCATATCTATAAGATCCATAAGATGACTGTGCCTTGTGTAAGCTCAATTTTTTTCCCCATCAATTTTCATTAATGCCATGCCCAAGATCTTGCTGTCCTTTTTTTTCCAGTTTCATTTTGTGTTCTTTGTTTGTATTATAAGAGAGGTGAACAGAGTGCCTTGTCTCCCTGCACTTCAGTTTCCCAAGGGGACTGGCAGATAGTAGGCAAATACTTACAATTGCATCTGGTATGCCATTGATTTTAGTTTGAGATTTCTGCTACTGTTCATGAGTGAGAGGCTAAAGAAAGCAACTACTTTTTTTAGCACTTGAAGAGCATCTTGGATTTATTACCTTTATTTTTCTTTACTTTTTGCTCAGAGAAAAGTTTGGTGTAAAATGCCTTGTGTTTGCCAATCTCCCAAGAAGCTGGGATTAAAATATTAAAGCTCTTCTTTCCATCCTGAACTGTTGTACAGAGTATTGAATAGTTTACTAGAAGTGTTGCATAGTTTTGATGTTCCTGAAATGTTTTAATGGAATGTAGACGAAAGTACAAACCAGGGAATGATGCTTAAGTTGACTGAACTTATTTTAACCAGTTTCTGTTCTTGTAATAGAAACTATTTGTGAGCCATTACAGTTTTTGTATGGTTACCATTCTAGCTGAAATTCTGAGATTTAATTTTTATTAAAACTAGTCATTTTCTTGTAGAGAGAGAGTGGTTCTTCAGTAGTGTATGGAATGCACTGCTTTTTCTTTCCAATTTATGGGTGTAATTGTTCTGTCTGAAATGTTTTTACGATTAGTTTATAAGAGCTAAAGAAACTTCATGCTGTGCAATTTCACTGTATATGAATACTCAAATAAGTGTTAAGACTCTTGGCAGGCAAAGTTCTTTGAGTAGATGTGATCTCTTTTATTAGACCAACTGAGTAGTTGGAAAAAAAGTTCTTAGCAAGCTTTCAGGTGCAGTCATCATTCTTCAGGCATAGGGAGTCACTGTTAGGACTCTTTTTTTTCACTTTACCTACTGGGCTAATTCAATAAGTTATAGGCTGTTTCTCCCAGCTGGTAGGACAAAACTAGGAAATTAAGTGAGAAAATAATTTGAATAATTTACAGACAGTGAAATATAAACCAGTTAATGTTTTTAGGTGGTACTTAACCTAACCACTTATACCTTAGAATTGTCTTAGTATAATATTCAAGTACTGACCAGAATAGAAGATTTAGTATTTGAGTACTTGATCATTCAAGTACTTAGGTTTCTATCAGTCTAGTACTTGAATTATGGGGGATTTACTCCTAAAATATTGCAGTCTGAAAGGGAGAGACAGATAAATGAGGGAGTTTTTCAGACTGGGTTACTCTGAGTGAGGAATAAACTTTTTCATGAAGACTTCAGTAAGATGCAAAAGTTTATTTAAATTTGTGCTTTGATTCATTTTGTCACTAATGCAGTGGTTCTCACCTTTTTTTAGACTCAAAGCACCCTTCTGTAACTTTCAAGAATTAGGTGGCACTCCATTTCAAAAACTAATTTATACTGCTTACCTGGTATAGGGCTGGGAAGGAAGGAGGAAGAACAGCCCGCAGGGAAAAGCCTGCAGTGCAGTGAGTGGGGGAAGGAGAGTGGCTGGCAGGGAAGAGCCTGCACTTACCTCTTTACTGGAGCTTGCCTTTATCTTACTTAACCTCCTCTCTCCTGCA